GAGGGAGGGAGACACACACTCTCACAGACTCTAAACAGCATGCTGAGGGCGCCATCTTGTGTCCACAATTACCAATTACAACCAGCATTGTTTAGTATGTCAATTAGTTGCTTCTTTTTCCTTTTTAACTTCCCTTTCTAGCTCACATATACTTTGTTAGACATCGTGATGATGGTATTCAATAAAGTGTGTCTTTTGTGATTCTCCTTACCTCGTCCCCACACTGGAATCCCTGTTTCCTCCTTGTAACCACTCCCTGATACTGTCTCTTCACATCCCTCCTCCTTTGGCCACCTTCCATCCTTCATCACAAACACTGCTCCCTCCTGGTCTTCTTTCTAGGTTTTTAGATTTCACCCGAACGGATACCTGTTACACATAAATACATCACAGACTAGGATCCTCAAAAGGCATCTCATGAGAATTTTTTTTTCTTTCTGAGTTTTGGTTGTTTTATACTTTCCAGATTCATTCCATTTCCTGAAAATCTAATGATTACAGTTTTCTTCACAGATGCATAGTGTTGTTTTTAGTTAGCAGGGGAGATCTGAGCTTTGCTATGATGTTTTTATGCAGTATAACATTGTAACTAACTTCACCAGCTCTTCCACTTTCCCACCCTCTGAGCAGTCTCCCTTTGCTACAGATGAGGAGAGAGTTAAGCTGCATTACTTGTAGGTAATACAGACGCTGCACATCAGAGGGAAAGGGACGTATTCTGCCTCCCCTACCCCACTTCTCATCCCTCCTTTTACATTTGCATTATCTGTTATGTACATATGTAAATTCCATGCCTATATAAAAATATTCATATGCACACATGCATAAGAGAGAAAGCATGCTATTTGTCTTTCTGAATCTGTCTTATTTAACATAATTTCCATATCTACCCATTTTTCTGCAAATGTTATGATTTTAGTGTGTGTGTCTGTGTGTGCGTGTGTGCATGTAATTGTGGTGGTGAGACCTGTGTGAGCCATGACTACACGTGTGGAGGTCAGAGTTCAGCTCTTAGGAGTTCATTATCCTGTTTTGCTTTATTTTGCCTCCCATGCTGGTAGCTCAGGCTGGCCCACCATCTCCAGGCCATCTTTCTGTCTCCACCTCCCTTCCTGACTTAGGAAAGCTGAGATTACAGAGGACAACCAAAAACCGTGGCATCTGACTCTTTTGCACAGGTTCTAGAGATCAACTCACGTCATCGGGCTTGCACGGGAGCACATTTACCACTGAAGCCCTCTCCCCAGCCCACAACTCCTTACAGCTGAATTAAATCCATCTGTGCATGTGTCTCCCATTTTCTTTGTCCATTCATCTGTTGCTGGACATCTAGGCTAGCTCCATATAGGCTCCCTGTCCCACTGCTGTGACAAAATCCCAAACAAGAATCGATTTAAAGAAGGGGCAGAGTTCTGGCCCCTAAAGAGGTTGTAGGTGTGGCTGCTGTATCACAAATGAGCCGGTAGGTAACAGAGAGGAGACAGGCTCTGCCTATACTCTGACCTGTCAACATCTGAACAATTAGTAGCCTAACATTCCCTGAATAAAGTGAGCCTTAAACAACCATCAGTCTGGTGCCAGGCAGGCCCAAACAGGCTCCCAGGAGGGGGGCTAGCCTAAGATCACTACCAGTCCTCCTCCGCACAGGCCCAGGGGACTATGCCAAGACGACCCCTGCCATCTTGCATTATGGCCATAATGTACGAGAGGGGTAAAGCACTCCTGAGACCACTCCTGAGATGACTCCAGACACCCAGAGGCCCTGGGCACCACTAAGAGAAGCAAGTAAGTGGTGGAGAGATGGAAGAGAAAGAGAAGCAGGAGGGTGTGGGCACAATGAAGAGAGGTAGAACTGAAGACTGGAGGGTAGTGAGGATCAGCCTGATGTGAGGAGCCAGCGATGCCATCAGGGACCATGATGAGGTCCTGGCCTGTGCTGCCACGGAGAGCCGTATCTGGGTCTGTGGCCCTGTAATAACAGGGGTCTGTTACTACCAATGGCCAGGCGGATGTCCCTGGTCTGAGCTGCTGCCCAGGGACATGTTGATGTCTGAGGACGGTGCAGAACTGGACTCACCCACACTTGGGCATCCTGGGAATGCTGGCCCTGGGGTCATAAAAGCAGGAGAGTCAACCCCACACCTGACTTCTTGTGGTACTTGGGAGAACGAACCCTGCACACTGTGGGGGTTTCGATTGAGCCAGCCTGAGGATATGAGTATGGAAGGACTGGCCATACCACCTGTCTTCCATGTAGTGGTGTGGATGAGAGAGAGATACCCTCTTCCCCTCCTCCTTCCTCCCTTCCCCATTCCATCTGGTAGCAGGTGGGATACCAGGCCCTGAGGTCATGAGAGCTGTCCCTGCCCCTCACCTGCCTTGTCCTCCAGAGAGCAGGCCCTGCACCTCACCCGGGCAGCAGGGCAGAGCTGGCCCTGGTTGCAGGGTTTGCCTGTGACCCAGCCCCAGGGTGTGAGAGCAGGAGAGCTAGCAGGCTGACCAACTCAGATGGACACCTCTCAGGCCAGACCCAGGGCTTTGAATTGTCCCAGTCCAACATCTACCCCCACCAATGAACTGCTGGGGTAAATGAAGGACCCAGCCCTGCAGATCCAAAACTACAGGATCTCCATGACACAGGGCAACAACAGGATATCCGAGAGGAGTCTCAGTGAGGTGCCAGTATTGAATAGCAGAAGTCAGAGGCCCCGTACCAAACCAATGAGTCATTGCAATGAACGTTTACAAGCAATAAAGTGTGGACAAAAGGGTCTACTGTGGCTCACACTGTGATACACTGCAGCCTCCACAATGATTTTTTTCTCTGTTGGGGTAAGAGGTAAGGGTGGAGGGTAGGTACAAGGAGAGGGGGAAATGAGTGGGAGTGGGGTGCATGACATGAAATTCATGAAGAATTTCAATAAAAAGTTAAGGAGAAATGTAAGGAAGGTTTACTGGATTTACTTTGGCCATCAGTCTGAAGTCGGGGAGAGCTGAGGACACCCTTCACTTTGCATACATAGTTAGGTTTCAGAGAGATTTGCACTAGGTTTCTGCTTCACCCCTCAGTTAAACCCTCTGGAGATGTCCTCGCCGACAGGTGTGACTCCTGAGCCTGTTATAAATCCAGTCAGGTTGGCAATGGGGTTGACTGTGGCACAGGTTTTGGGTATAGTGGCTAGTGTCTCATTTAGCACTCTCAGGTGTCTCAGGAGGACCGCTGGGTCATACCATACTTTTATCTTCAGTGCTGGTTTCCATAACAACAGCAGCACTTCACACTCCCACCAGCAGTGACTAGGGGACGCTGCACCCTCTCCAGCGTGTTCTTTGCCTGATGGTAGCCATTCCGACTAAGGCGAGTTACAATCTCAAAAACAGTTTTAATTTGGATTTCTCTGGTGGTTGAACATTTTAAAATATTCATCAACTGATAGTGTATTTCCTCTTTTGAAAAACTATCTGTTCAATTTACCAGAACTTATATTGTCTAGATGATTTGGTGTTTAGTTTTTAGAGTTCTTTAATTGTCATGGAAATTGAGTCCCTGTCAAATGTGTAGCAGGAAAGGATTTCCTCTCATCCTGTAGACTGCCTTTTCCCTCTGCCGATTGCCAATCATTTCCTTCGCTACGCAGAAGTTTCACACAATAACTTTACGCAGCTCATTGCCAGTTCTTGGGATTGTTTCCTCAGCTATGGCCTCCTTTCTGGAAAGCCCTGACCTATGCCTACATACTGAAATGTTTCCCCTGCTTTCCTCCAGCAGTTTCAGGATTCCAGGTCTTCCATTAAGGTTGAAGTTGGGTTTTGTGTGGGACAGGAGATACATACCTAACTTCATTCTCCTTAGGTCTGAGTTCCAGATTCGCCAGTATCATTAGACAAAGATAATTTCTTTTCTCCAAAGTTTGGAAGTTTTTTCAAAAGTTGGGTGTCTGAGGCTTCGTGGGTTTATGTCTGAGTCCCCTGTTGTCCGTGCGTCTGCTGTGTGCCAGGACGGTGCTGGCTTCTCACTGTGGCTCTGCAGGGTGATTTGAGATAAGGTGTTGTGTTGTCTGCAACATTGCTCTCTTGTTCTGGATTGCTTTGGCTATTATTTGGGATAGGGTCTTTTGTGCTTCCATACGAATTTTAGCCTCTATGTCATCAGGGAAAATGACCTATATTTTTCTTTCTTTCTCTCTCTCTTCCTTCCTTCCTTCCTTCCTTCTTTCTTTGTAGTTGCTGTTGCTGTTGTTGTTGCTATTGTTATTGTTGTTGTTGATGACTATGATGATGATGATGATGATGATGATGACGTGCCCCCATCCAGTTTGGGCACTGGGGTAGTGCTGGCTTCACAGAATGGGTTTACTGGTGCCCGTTGTCTTTCTAGTTTAGGAACTGTTTGGGGAGCGTTGGTGTTAGCTCTTCTTTAAAGGTCCAAGGAGACAGGGCAGTGAATTCAGTGGCTCTTTAGCCTCTTTTGCTAAGAGACCCTATGCCAAAGCTTCAATCAAATTGGCAGTTATAAATTTCTTTAAGTTACCAACATCCTCTAAAACTCTTTTGGTTCCAAAAAGTGTTTTCAATTTCATTTCACTCAAGAAACTTTTAAATTTCCTCCATCTTTTCTTCAATGACCAATTGGTCATTCAAGAGTGTGTTGTTAGAACTCTCTGTAGCTGTGTAGTTCCCAAGGCTTCTCTTATTACTGATCTCTGGTTTCATTCCACTGTGACCTGATAACATATGAGAAATTATTTCAGCCTTCTGTGTTTGCTAACACTTCCTCTGTTGTCTAAAACATGGTCCATGTTACAGTGAACTCCATGGACTGCCGAGAGGAACGCGTATTCTCCAGCTATTGGGTGGAGTGCTCTGTTAATATTTGTTAAGCTCATTTTAAGCTATGATGCAAAGTAACTATGGAAATCCTTATTCATTTTTTTTGGTCAAAACAAAATATGCATTCCTGAGAGTGGAGTATTGAGGCTACGGTATCGAGAACTTTGTGTCTATTAGTTTTTGTCATATAAAATAAGGAAGCCTGAAATTGGCTGTATGAAATATAATAAACACTAAAATTATCATTTGATCTTGATGAAGTGTTCTCTTTATTAGTTTTCAGTGGTCTTTTATCTCTCTGGCTAGCTTGAATTAAGTCTACTTTATCAGGTAAGAGACCCTGGGCCAGCTCGCTTCAGCTTTGCTTTGCTTGTAGGTTGGTTTCCATCCTAAAGTCTCAGTCTGTGGGTCTCTTTGCGGTGCGATATTGTTTCAGAGCAACAACAGGTAACTGAATCGTAGTTTTCCATTCCATTACACTGGAGAGTTGAATACGTTTGTGTTTATAGCTATTATTGAGAACGTTTGCTTCTTTTTGTGCTTCCTGTTGCTTGGGTTTTGTTGGGTTCTGGTTGGGTTACTCTTCGTTGTTTGCTGCTCTCCCACTCATGTTAGGGCTCTGCTGATTTACTCTCTTGGGCACAATGAACTCTTTATTAGTTCTCTTTGTTCATCATCTGACTCATGACATGTATTCTTTTCTGTTTCCCTTTGGCTGTGATGTCCCTCCTCCATGTTTAGGGCTCCTGGGAGTCTCTGACAGTGCTGGTTTGGTGGTCGTGAATTGGTTCATGCTCATCTTCATGTTGCTATATCTCCACGGATGTTAAAAGATAACCTTGTTCATCCCTGTTACTGACTTTCCTTTCCAGGCCATGGTTGAGTTCTTACTCCATGCCTGCTCATTAATATCCTCTTTGGAGTCATTGGTTCTTTTTATTACTAACTTTTGAGTTCTTCATTGTTGTAGTAATTATTTAAAATCGGCCTCTGGTCAAGCCGACTATCTAAGCTGCAGCAGCTCTGCCTAGCTCAGCCGCCATGCTTCTCGGCTGGAGGCCACATGCGCGCTACACCTAGAACCAGCCCGCCAGAAACACCAGCCCTGCCACCCACGAGATGTCAGCGTGGGAGATGGCTCTGCCAATCTTCCCAGAATCAGAAGTGTAACCCAATACCCAACCTAGATATACCAACTACCTTTGACTGCTACAGACACATGAACATCAGCCTCCATCTCCTCTCTCTATCTCTCTCTCTTCCCCTAGCTCCTCCTCTTCCTTTTCCTCCTCTCCTCTTTACTCCTCCACTTCCTCTCCTAACTCCTCCGACATTAGCCCCTCCTACACTTCATCTGGTCTTTTAACTAGCACTGTGTCTTCGCACTTGGTATCTGAGTTGCCATCTTGTGGAGGAACCACATTGATTTCCTTTGTCACCTCCCTGGTTTTCTGTGCTGTCGCTTTCATATCTGTTGGTTTGGGCCTCTTTCCTCATCTCTGTGGGATCCTGTCAGCGAGTGAGCATCTCCTGAGAGCTTCCTCCGCAGATCCACTGAGAGGGCAGAAAGCAGCTACTGCACTAGCAGCAAAAATCAACCAAATGAGTTAGAGAAATGCACTTAAAACTGAAGAGAGCCTACAAATGCACCACCAATGCACAGGAAAGTGGACAGTGAAGAAAAATGAAGGATAAAGGAAAAAGAGT